AGCGTGCGAGAGAGAGAGAGAGAGAGCAAGTGCGCGGATCTCGATGGTCTTGCACAAACGTTACAGATGTGTTTCGAGCGTCTGACTGTTTGGTTTCGAGTTTAAATCATCGAGATTAGCACACGGGACCTGGCAGGCCCTGATAAACCGACCGAAGGCGAGGGTCTCGATTCGAGGAGAATCGCGCGAATCCTATATGCGAACATGACGCTCTCTCGGCCGCTCTCGGCTCGGTGCAGCAGAGCGCGGTCTCGCGCCGAGCGCGCATCTCCGACGCTCGGCCGCTCGGCCGTGCGTATTCGCACGGTAATTGCACGGTCGCTACCATTTGAATAATTTCATCCATGCGGCAAGGACACGTACTCACCAGGGACGTACGCGTAAATAGTCCTACGTGACCCCGCGCTCAGGTTGTCGCCGTCGGACGAACGTTCGTCGTTTCTGCGGTCGGCAATGACCACGTCCGCTGGGGCCTGGGGCACAGCTGCTCTCCGTGGCGTGGGCGTGTCTGATGCTGTCGCCGTCGAATGCACTGGGATCGTAGACGAAAATGCGAATTTGTGCGATCGAATCGGCAAAGCTCGCTCGCGTGCTAATCACCGTGCCGGATCGCGTTCGATCGCGATCATCGGGACTCGGGACGCGTCGCCGTCGTTTCTCAGCGTCACGACCGATCCCGCGATTTATCGCACTACTTTGAATATTAGTCCGCGCTCTGCCATTCCCGCGATACCGATAATCCCGCAAACCCACCCGCTGAACTTGCGCGCGAGGAGCAATATTCGAGCTCGACGCTCGACAAGACACCCCGTGGGACTTGAATTATTGCCGAGAGAATTATTGCTCTCGGGGTGATTTCCCCTTGACTCCCCCTAATCTTTAATCGTTCGACTAATTTATGCGCTTAGCGGGGAAGGAGGGAGAGAGAGAGAGAGAGGAGACGCCTTGCAGATTTAATTTCACGAATTTCTCCCCGTACGCGCGGCGATTGATCGCCTCCATTATATGAAGGCAATTATATTACTTTCTTCCGCGAGACTCGACGGCGAAATCTTAGATGTTAATTTCCGCCGTTTCGCGGAAGTTCCACGCGATCTTTACCGAAAAAGGCTTGAAGGCGAGAACGAGAACTGGCGCGCTTTGCAGCGAGCGGAATTGTTACCAACTCAACAAATGCGATACCATCGAAAATAAAAAAAAAAAGAAAAACCCTGCACACAAGTATACTCGGAGCTCGGAGCGATGTTAATGTCACGATATGTAAATGGTTACACAAATCGAAGATAAAACTCGTCAGAGCGAATTAACACGAATTATTTCGTGCCGAGACTGCGGGACTCTAGCAGACTTTTTACAACCTCCGACCTACGGTCCGACCTACGGCAAAACCGCACTGTTCTTTACGCGAGCGTTACCTTTCTAAAAAAAAAAGGATCACCTCGACTTGAGTGATTAAAGGGCTTTTCCATCCCGATGGAGCATAGAGCGCCTAAGAGGAAAAAGGCAGAACCGTTACGAGTACCTCGAGTCTTTCCGCTCGGGAGAACTTTTCGCTATCCCGCGTTTTCCTACGTTAAGCGCGATACGCACGACCGTGGATCGTGTCGCGGGTACCTGGGGTGTCCTTCCGTTCCCTTTGTTTCAGCTCGACACCGACGACGCGACGCGACGCGACGCGACGCGGCGAAGGTCCGTCGCGCGTATCCTCGGAGCTCGGAGCAGTCGGAGCGCGATTGACGATATCGCGCGCATTAACGCGCTAACGACGCATTCGTCCTTGCGCGCGCGCCCGCGCGAAACGCACTTCGCCCTCGCAACTTCGCAACCTCGCAAATCGCACTCGCGACTCGCGCCCGCGTTCACGGCGTTCGCGCGAGTCCGTCAACTCCGTCGTGCGTCGACGACTCGCGGCGAAATTCAGAGATTCAGACAGCGCGCGGTGCGCGGTCCGCCCTTCGTCACCCCCGGGCCCCGGGCAATCGAGAATCGGGAATAGGAAATGGCGTATGGCGTAACTTACCGGCGGTCGACGGTCGACGCACGGTTGACAGAATGACAGATTCGTTGAAAACGAATGGTAATTATACGCTTCGCGATGAGTTCGCGTGGCACGCGGACGCGCAGCTGCTACTAAACTCCTTCTCGTTTCTCGTCTGTTCTCGAGCGGGCGCGAACCAAACGTGACTCGAAGTGCGCGCGCCGCCACCGTCGAGAGGAACCAGCGGTGAGGCCGGTGAGCGGCGATGAATAGCGGGTTACGGGTAGTCCCCCGCCAACGACGTCAACCGGTCGACGGCGAGTACGGCGTACGACGTACGGCGACTCCGACTGACGGTGACGCCCTCGTCCCTCGTCCTAGCCCTCGCCATCACCGGAAACAAAACAGCCCCTGACAACTCCGGCTCCGGAGAGTTGGTACTGTTGTCAGTGTTGACAGTTGACCTGCCGGCTGTCCTGCGAAGCCTCATGCGATCAACTTCACGACGACCGACTCGACAATATTGGCGCGTTTAGCGTTTATGACGAAGAGACGCGCGAATCGTAATGATCGGCCTGTCGAGTTTTTCCTCGTTTTATTATGACAGGAAACATTTTATAGGGAGATCGTCTTCGCGTAAATCGCGCTGAAGAATTAAAATTCGAGCCTCCGCGACATCGCTGACTGCTGAATCGTGTAACGAATCAAACTACTCCAAATACACTTGGCTGAAATGCGCGTCAGTTACTTCGAGTGGCTCCCGGCAATAATTAAAGTTCCGCAAAGTACTTCGCTAAGCTCGAATACTCCCTCGCAAGTTTATCGGGTTTATAGAATCATCGGTATCGCACACGGCTGCCTGAACTAATATTCAAAGTGCGGCAAATTGGCTCTCGCCTACATAGTATAACAGGGAAGGTGCTACATCCTCGAGGATTTGCCGCCTTCGCCGGGTATCCGCGGATGACTCAACGATGTCACGCTACGTTACGCTTCGTTACCTATTTAGCGGGGCTTCTTTTTTTTTTTTTGTAGCATATTTATCTCGTCGAAAATACAAGTTTAATATTTTTTAATATTTTTCGAAATTATATATCGCCGGAGCTTTACCATTCGAATCATCTCCCTCAAGGACACATTCTTTTTCAGAGACCCTCCACGTACCCTCGTGCTTTACAACCAGAGAAGAGAAAAGAAAGCAAATAAATGTATCTGAAAGAATCGCAATAGAGTAGGTACATAAGAGAAAGAATTGAAAAGTACATTAAAGCTTTGTTTCTCCTGGCTCCCACATTTTCTTCAACTTTTTACTTTCGGGCCATTAGAGCTCGCGATATCCCGCGGCATTTTTCACAAATCACGCTCCTAAATCTTTTCAAATCAGTTTTCCTGTAACGCGAAGCATTCGAGGCGACGTTTTCGACCCAATTTTTGTCGTGACTCTAGGCGAAAACATCTGGAACATCGTCATCCTTGCGGAACAACGAGCGAATATCTGTCGCACAAAGCGGCATTTTTCTGTGAAAATCACAGAATCCACGGAATAAAATATTTTGTGTAAATATATGTATAGGCGTATATAAAATAAGAAGATAAAAATGCAAAATATTTCATCTGACATTTGTACGAGAGACAGCGTAACTAATAATATCGTCGAATTTAGTAACAATTTAATTTAATTTAATAATAATTTCACCATCCCGGTGAGAATTCATCCAGTCAGTCTGTTCTTGCATGTTATATCGCTTGAACGAGTCTCTGACGAGTTAGAATGAAACGAGCCTGAAAGTTACTAATTGTACTTGATTGTCAGTCGAAATTCGAAATACACGCCATGTGCCGATCACACTTGATTATACACTGGATGTACCGAAGAAATAATAAACAAATAATAATTCAACGATAATCTTTATCGCGTCAAATTTTTTTCCTCTCTTTTGTATTCTTATTAAATATTCGGAATCATCTCTGTCTCTTCGATCCGCAGGCACGATTTGCTCGAGATGCACATAAGCAAACATTCTGTTTAATGAAAAACGTATGTTAATCAGCCAATTAAACAAATTATAAACGTTGTCATATTTTGAGTAAAATTTCTTCTTCTTTTAGCTGACTCAAGTGTACGATCGATCGCAAATGTGATCGCAATGTGCTCGCTGACGATAATTTAGGTAACTTTCACGATTTTGTACAATGTAACCGACTGCCGACATTTCAACCGGGAACGCGGGAACTAGAACTATGATACAAAATAGAAATATCATACGCCGGCAATCGTAGCCACTTAATTGATAAATTGTAACTGCAGCAATATTCAAAATAAATATTATATAATATGTATATATATTTGAACATAGACGGAACCTCGGACAAATGCCCGTTAATTACAATTCCAAAACTTTAAACTGCAAAATTAGAATGTCCAAAACTTTCGAATTCTCGAAAAGTCAAAAGGCGAAAGGGATGGCATAAATCAAAAGAGGAAACTTCGAGGATCGCGATTATAAAAGCTCCAGCTTAATTATACATTGATGAATTAAAAACAAAGAATCTGGATGTACGGATAGCTCAAGGAGAAGAGAACGCAATCTTTCCTTGTTTTTCTTTCCCTTTCCTGCCTTCGTCCAGACATGAAAATGAGACGTTCGTGCGAGGATGTGCGCGGCACGACGACGTCGCGACGTTGAATTTCAGCCGTTTGAGAAATACGCGTGGGATATATTGCTTGACGACAAATTCGCTGCATACGGGTCAAGGAGAAGCGTCGCGCTTTTTTGTGCTTCAACCGCATCGTAAAGCATGACAATCTTGTCATCGACATTGTCACGAACGTGCCAAGGCTCGTGATGCCAATTAATCGTTGCACGTCGTTTCTGAAATGTTTAAAGTCGATTATAGTTGTACCGAAAATAAATAAAGGTTTCGTTAATTCATCTTTTTCAATTCCGTTCAAAAATATAATCGCGATTAAACTTCCACAAAATTATAACTAACGATAGATCATATTTATACTCTCATATTATATTTTTATACACTCATTTATGTTTTAATCTTCAAGAATTGTCGTATAAAATTTTGCTCAAGATAGGCGATTACTGCAACATTGCACCTTTCATATTTTTTTATCGTACGTATGCTCAACGATAACCAAATGCATAGTGAAAGATATTAAAAAGCAAAGATAGAATGTTTCGGATTTCACACGCTTAGATTTCACGACGGCAGATATTTATAGTGTTGCAATATAAGTCTGAAATAAATTTTCAAACGTTATGACATTTTCACGTTGAGACGTCGTCAATGTCTTATCGGCGGACGAATCAGCGTTGACAGCCGCTGACAGAAGATTTACCACTGATATAAAGGATCTTAACCGTAGCCCAAAATATTCTCGTGGAAATAGCTCTGAACCTCTCAAGTTCCAAAGTGTATACTGTGCGTATATTCTATCAAATTAATTAAATAGATGCAAATTGTTCCGGTGGACGTTTGAACGCGTGTACATTTTCGGCTTCCACCGCTTTTCACGACAACCCAAACCTTCGGCGAGGTAATATATTGGCTCTTTATTCATCGTGATAAAAGAACCTGCAACTGATACATTTTATTGTTAGTATAAGAATAAAACGATACAAGAAGTAGTTCACTTTAACGTAGATTGTCAGGTTTAATTTTGCTGCACTCTGAAAATGTCATGCGACGAAAGCTTTTATCGGAAGATATCTTGATGGAAATATGTTACGTTATACATATATGCAGCGGGTGATCGGTTGACAAATAAGGAAATACGATACACATATACGACGAGCATATATAAAGACGAACTAATTGTCCCGGTACCTCAATTACCCGAAGGTATCGTTTACGAAAAGAATACGGTTGTTCGTTACGATTGCATGGATAAGACATCTCATCTACCTTGAAATGGAAACCGATGTCACTAAGAATAATAACATTTACAAATTGCTCTCTCTCGAAGAGGTGATGGAGGTGGCGAGAGCTGCGCTGAGCAGTGACACTGATCTAATAAAATATACCATTCGACCGTACTCCAACGGCAAGTTCGGATTTCTCGGCTCTCATTATTGGCTCGATATAATAGCCACGAGAAAAAAGGAAACCGTCGCTCTCTCGTTCTTTCTCAAGACCGTACCTTACGAGGTACCCGATCAAGCTGACTATGTGATAAAAAAGGGTGTCTTTAAACAAGAGACAATGTTTTATAGCGTCATAATGCCGTTGCTCCGTAAGGGATACCATGGGGAACCATGGGCGCCGATGTGCTACAAAGCGAAGAGCGATTCGATAGTCTTTGAGGAGCTAAGCAGCAAGGGCTACTCCATGCGAGACAAACTATTTGACAAGACACTCGTACGTGCGGGTTTAAGCGCTCTCGCGCGACTACACGCCGCCTCTCTGCTGGCCGAAACTCGCCTCGGCACGTCTCTGAATCGGCTATATCCCGACGCTTTCGTGGAGAGAGCTTTCGTTCACGAGGGAATGACGCGGGAGTGGTTCGAAGCAGGCATCGACGTCGCCGCGATCGTAGCCGAGCGTTTGGGACACGACCCCGACCTGATACGATCGGCCTGTGAGCAGGTGTATCACGCTATGAAGCCGTCGCGCACAAAGGCGAACGTGGTCAGTCACGGGGATCTCTGGGGCAACAATCTTCTCTTCAATAATGACGTGTCGCCTAAATGCTTGCTGGTGGATTTCCAACTATTGAGGTACTCTCCTTTGGCGCACGACGTAGCACAGTTTTTGTATTTGTGCACGGACCGGAGCTTCCGAGAGACCTGGGAAAGCACGATGTTGCGTCATTATTACGATACGTTGCGCGAGACTCTGAACATTCACGGGACCCATACGCAAACACCCCCATGGTCAGAGCTGATAGAAGGTATGGAGGAACAACGTCTAGGCGCCGTTATCACCGCGATAATCTACTTTCCCACGGTTTTAATGGACGAGAATATTGGTGCGCGAGTTATGAACAACCCGGCGTCTTACGCCGACTATTATTTTCGGAATAGGAAAGAGTTTGTCCTCTCAAATATGGAGAGAGACCCGGTTTACAAAAGAAGGATCAGCGAAGCTGTCATCGAACTCGCCGAGCTCGCCTCGCAATTGGACCAATTACCAAAACCGTCTTAAAAAGTTATATATATATTTCATATAGTCGATTCACACATGTAACCAAATCGTTTATTAATGTTTCGTCAACACACTTTGTGCACCTTTTATATATTTCACGGGAATATGTATTCGTTGAATTGATGATTTTATCAATATTACTGATCTTACCGTCGCAGTTCCGTATGGTAATTTTTACGGCAATACGAATCAAAGAATATTGTCTTGATCAGGAAGTATAGTGGATAGGAAAGACCAATCGTAATCGGTGAGTTGTACGTTTGCATCTTCATCCATATCCTCTTTCTCATTCGTCGGTGTGACCGAGGGTTTCGTCGGCAGTAATACTTCGTTTTCACTTAGATCTGAAGCATTATCCTGAGCGTCGTCATCGTTGTCTCTGGAAATTACGAAAAAATCAATACACGATGTTTATTCACGTAAAACGAAGCAGTAAAATATGACAACTTTAACGTATGGAACTTGCACAAGTTAATTTTGCATACTTGAAGTTTTCAGCATTTTTGGAATGATTTTTTACGGGTTGTTGTCCTGCCAGAGACGAAATAAATGACGAGCACAGCAGTCTCATCGGTGGCAATGTATGAGCGGACACGCTAAGTAACTGAAAAACAAGAATGATGATTAATGTTAAGCTACTACAAGCGAATGCACTCTGCTGAATTGTCGGTTAAATAATGTAATGTACGGATATAGACATTAATGGAACGCGTCAATTTCAATGCGACAGGTTCAAAGTATGTTTGCCATACGTATATACTCGTGATAATCGGTCGGTCAGACGACTGGCTAATTAGTTTTAAAGCTGACACACGGCACACCTCCAAGTGAAATTTGTGCAATTCCTGCAATCTTCTACTTCAGATCTAGGTTGATTCGTCTGTTGCAACCCACACGAATATTCTTCGCAACGTGTACACTTTAGCGACAAACGCGCGTCTATATGTATTATAGTATAAAACTTAAAAAATGCACTTTAATTTCGTCGATGAATATCTACGCTCTTTGAATCGTAAGTTTATAATTGTTATTGTTAAATGCAACGGCTTCCTTTTCAAATAAATGACTACTTTAAAAACAAGATTCTGCAAAATTATATAGTACTAGATTTAATACCACTTTTATAAAAGGAAAACGTCTCTTATTTCATTTCTTTCAAGTGGCAACAATTACATTGTTGACAATATATGTATATGACGCATTTAACTCATGTTTGTACTATTTCCGCACTTCTCATTTTTAGGATGACGCGATTGTCGATAATGATTCAAGTCAATTTCAGAGAATCATGATGACAATAATCGTAAAGTTGTTCATACGAAAAACGACCGAGATAGCCAGAGAATGTAATTTACTATCACTATAATCAAGACAATTACCAAGTCTAGTAAAGTCTGACGTTTGTAACGTATCCTAGTCTATTTTGGTCGTAAAAAAGCTATTTTTAGTGTAGAAGGAAACCTTACGTATCTAGCCTTACGATCCATTTAGTGAGAATATTTCAATGGGCTATACAAATAGTAAATGTCTCAGAAGTGTAAATATTAAAATATTATCTCAATGGATACTAAGAATATAAATAGAATAAAGAAATAAATATCGTAAGATATAGCGGCGAACACAAAATATCAGCAAACTTTAATTCTTTTAAAGAAATTTAAAGGCATCATGTGATTGTAAAATACCATTACAAAATGTTGATAGAGGTATATCAATGAGATAGATTGATCTAAACTTTGCCCTCTGTACCGGTGTGGCATTTTATTAGCAGGTATCAATGACAACAATCGAGACAGTCGGCGAAGAAGATAAGACTTTGTTCCTGCTGGCCTGGTTTTACTTTTCCGAGCAATCCCAGACAATTCTGTGACAACGTCGTTCGCTATTTTCGCATCGCGCAGGTTGTCCTATTGTAATGGATGCGGTGAAATATTTTGAAAATTAAGCGAGATACAAGCTCATCCTTAGATATCATGATGATTGTGAAATGAATGACATTTTGTGACAAAGATTAATTTTTGTTCAGATAGAGTCATCCCGACACTGTTTCAATATTATATTTTACTTCTTTTAGTGACATATTTTTTGCTCGATATGATACCCATGTATTGAGATCGAGGCTATTTTTTTTTCTTAATGATCTACGTTATCTACAACCTGTCGCTGTAAATTATTAGAAAAAATTTGAAATTTACTTAAACTAAATCATTGAAGATATTCAAATCTTAATTTTTAGGTATAAAGTGTATAAATAAGAAATTAAAAATATTAACTATTAACTATCAAAATGTACTATAAAAACACGTTAATCATTAAAAAAAAACTTTCTCATTTCGTTTAATTTTATTACGAAATATTCCAAGCAAAATTAAGGCTTTAATTAATGTAAAACATCTTACATTAAGATAACATTGTAACAAGTTCAATGATCCCTTACTCAAGGTCAATCGTATTCAAGACCATTTGAAATCAAAATAGTACACTTTGTATGTTTTTACCGTGGATAAATAGTGGCAGACGAAGCTACTTTTAACACATTCGTTTCTGATAGCAGCAGAACATGATACGTCTCGCGTAACTACTTTCGATAAATTCTTCGACGAGATATCTCTCGACTTTATTTTCGGCACGGTGGATTAATTATTCGATACGAATACGATGCATGTTACATTTGCCCTTATCTGCTTTTTCCAATACAACTCCACCTCACTCTGTTCAATTTGTCAGGCCAACTTGCCGCCCACACGAAGAAAAGACAAGACGACTGATAAAGCCAAATAAACTAAAATATATATATATCTACATATGAATGCATATGAATAGATGCTATAGCTTGCAGTACGACGATTATGACGTGAGAGGCATAGGATTTCCAGCAAAGTTTGCCTGTTGTCCAACCGTCCTAAAGGGACAACTAGAACGCCGTGAGAGGGTGGGAGTCTCTATATTAAATCATGGCGAGACTTCTGCTGAAAGCCAGTCGTTCGCGGATCGTTGGTACACACATGAAGAATCTGCTCTGTGTCTGTCGGCTGTCATAAGAAGGACTACTAAATATTTTTCCACGTACCATCTTCGTCAAGTTGCATCGTGTTGATTCGTCAACACCCCATTGTACAATCATTCGAATTCATAAAAACTGGGTAAAACCACTTGACATAGCTCTCTGTGGGAAATTTTAATAGAAATATTTGGATTAATTCGCATTTTTTGGTGAAGAAATTATTCGGGAAAAACTCGAAGAGCGATCTAATTACAATCATTGATCGAGAAGACGGAATAAACTGAAAAGAACTGAGAAAAAAATTTGGAAAAAATCCAGAGTCAAAACATTCTTGGGCATCTTTTGGGCTGGAAAAAGAACCGGTATCGAGAATGAAGCTGACTGCATTAAAATTGATTTCGTGCTTGGTTACAACGCTACTACTCGCAGTGATCGCCTTTGGATATCCCGCCAGTAACAGCGAAGCAGTAAGTGTTTTTTTATGCGATATCTCGTCATAAACGAAGCCGATACCATTATTGAGAATAATGTAGTTGGAAATTATGCAATTTACCGATTTTGGATCACCGGGATTTTGTTAGTGCGAAACACGCGAATGACTCACAAGCGTAGAGTTCCCTTTTCTCGCTGAGCGTCAATTATAAGAAATGCGACTCATATTTTTCTCCGTTGTAAGCACGTGGGATGTAAGTACATGGTAATGTCGAAAGTGGACGTTGGTCATTGAACGTTCCTCGTTAAACCAATCTTTATTTGTCCGAGAGTGCGATGATGTGTCCAATCACATTGAGTCGTAGGTGGTGCGTGATCTTATAAACAGGAAGACTTTTCGTCAAGATCTCAATGACTTTTAACCTTCTTAGTAGCTATTTGACCTGATTTCGATTAATGCGACTGGTCATTATGTTGAATAATCTTTTTTTTTCCTTTTCGCACTTTTGCTAATCTCTTATGCCAGTAATTTTTCTGTTTTTTTTTTTTTTTATTTAATAAACCTAATAATTCTGTTTAAGCTATACAATTTGCAGGCGATCGAGAACATGAGGCAAATTCCGCAATGGCATTGTCTTCGTTATAGAAAATTCGATTTTGTTCGTCGCTGTCGGAATTATCGCTTAGGAAGAAGACACTGACAAATGGACATTCAATATGATCCACGATTGGCAACTTATGGCAATACGATACCTTATGGCAAATTTCGTCGTCCGATCGTGCAGAACACACCATTTCAAGTCGTTAAACTAAAGAAGTTTAAGTTTATTTAAATTTAATTTATAAATTAGTTTAAATTAAAGTATGTAGATATCTGTAAAAGCACTTGCATTAGAAAGCAAAAATAATTTAGAATGTTGTTCTATTGAAGAAATTTGCATAAATGCGATTGACAATCGTGATAAGAGAAATATTATATTCTATATTATTTTGATTATTTTATTATTTTGATTATTTTATTTTCATTGATAAATCTTAATCTCTTTGTCTAGATACAAAGTTTCTAAAATTACGTTCTCGTACTGACTCTAAATTTTATAAATTCAGAATCAGAAATTCAGAACAATATTCAAAACAGAATATTGAAACAATTTTTTACATTATTTCTTATAGAATATGTATAAATAATTTATTTGTTTTTTTATATTCATTTTTTACATTTACTTTAGATTAGTAAACCCTTATTTATTTTGCAAATTGTCTCCGTTTGTTTACTTAATGTAAATTTGATCTCAAATATATTAAAAGTTTCTTATGTTATTCAACAAGAAATAATACTTTGTTGTTAATAGCATTGGCATATCAATCGTACAGGAATATTCCTAATAGATAATGTGTAAGGAATTTATAAAGAATCCCAAAAGTCGCAAATATTTCAAATGGATCAAAGCGCAACAAAGGATTCTAGATTTCTAGATTATAATACTATTTTAAATTGATTTTGATTATGCGTTTATTTCTGAAAGAAAATTTACTCTAATTCAGAAAATTTGTAAATAAAGTGTGCAACTTGAAGGAATCTTTGCATAAAATTTTGATAAAATGTTGAAACTCAAAATTCTACATACTTCTTGTACCATTCCTTTCGCTGGTATACCAAGATGTTCATGAACTTGTGCGAGAGTCTGCTCTTTGCTCGAAGAGGTTTGAGCCGCTATAAAATTGGAGAAGGCAGTCAATGGCATGGTTCCTTTGTCCGAAATAATCTCTAA